CCCCAAAACCCCAAAACCCCAAAACCCCAAAACCCCGAGAAGCAAATATTTAATAGATAGATTTTTTGCTAAAATATGGTCATCAAGTCATGTCTACTTATAAATTGGTCAATTTTATATGCTATCGAGATTCCTTCTTTGTCTAGCTTATTCATTGCTTTTCTCAGTATTCCTTGGTACTCTGTTTTGTGCTTTGAAGATCTTAGTTTCGAGATGTATTTTGATAAGAATGGTTTGAATGTTTCCAGTTGCTCTTCTATCCACGGCTTTAGATATCATTGGAGGAATTGAATTTTTCTATAAACTTCTTAGAGATTAGTGTTACTTTGAATCAACAATGTTTTCGAGAACAACCTCATTTAGCTCACTGAACATTTCGATATACTTAATTTTAGTTATGATCAGAAAATCTACAAAAGCATTTAGCTCTGCTTCAAATTGATCTGAAGACTTTAAAGTTTTATCCACCTTCTCTAAGCTCATGCCAAGTTGGTTGCTTTGATAAAATAGTAAACTTTTAGCAGCTGTTTTGCAGCAATCTCACATTATAAGTGCATTAACATGCTCAGCTTGGCCAGACATCATTATTGATCTAGATAGCTCTTGAACATACTGATTATATGCGTTGTCAATCTTTTTGACAAGTTCATCTTGAGAGATATCTACTTTCTGAGTCAGATCAGTGAATATCTTAGCTCATTCTTGATATCTGTTGCTGTCATTTTTATCCCCTGCTTTTCTATAGAATTAACTTAAGAGAGTACAAGAGAATATCTTCTATTTTATGAGTAACATAGTTATGTATATCTCTATCTTTTGGCTGTCCCATTCTACTGATATCTTCAAAGTTTCCCTCTGGGATAGCATTCTTGCATATAATGTAGTCTTGACTAGGCTGCGTTTCTACTACTTCCCAGTTATTATCTAGTGAGTGATTTATGTAATTTTGCCATTCATTATTGTTGGATTTTTGAGAAAAATCATCAATCTTGGACTTGAGTGAAGAAATAGACATTGAATATTGAGATAACTGCCCTTTCATCGTCTTAAGGATCTCGGAGACTTCATTGATATTGTCATAAGTTTGAATATATACTGGATATTGCTGGAGAATTTCAGAGCTTAAAATAGCTTCCCTTTCTTCCAGTTCTTTTCTCAATGCTTTGATCTTTTTAGGAGTATTGTCTATATTTGAAGAATGAAAAATTTGAAATAGATAAAATCTATCTATATTTCCCAATCTCTCTATCTGAGATTTATTTCAAGAGTTTAAGTCAGGAACATACGGAGTAGGCCATTAAACGGTAGATTATCAATGTTCTTAAATTTAGTGACTCTCAGAAAGGTAAAAGATATAAAATAAGATGGGAATATCCATTAAAAATAACCCATCAATGTGAATGAAAGCTCAGTATTTGAAGCATTAAAATTACATTTTTTGATATCAAAGTCTGGCTTTGTGAATTCATCATGAGAAGAAATCCTTTTGTTCATCTTCTCTTTAGCTTTTGTTTTGCGTAGAAGATTTGTTACTTCAGATGTCATATAACTTCGATTTAGGATACTGTCATCCATTTTCAATAATTATTAATATTTTAGGGGTTTTGGGGTTTTGGGGTTTTGGGGTTTTGGGGTTTTGGGG